AATGACAGTTTTGAATTTGCCGGGAATCGAAAGTGTATTTTACTGTATTGCGTACACAACAGGCGCGGCCCTGTTACGGGATGCCATGATCACTATCCAGCGCACGACTCAGGGGTTGAACAGCGAGTCACCCTTTGACTTGGGTTCCTTCGAAGAGTATCGTAGCTTCTTCAAGGGTAATTGTATAAATGAAGAGTGCGAGGAAGCAACTAGGATTGTGCAATCCTCTCATGACGGTGGTGGCACCACGGATGGGAACCCAATGCGGTTGACGTGCTGTATTGAGGTGCTCGGAAAGGTAATGATGGGGGTGTTGCCTGGTTTTTCATCATTTGCTCAGGCGCAGAGGGTTTGGGCGTACCTGTGGGAAAACGTATTCCATGTTGATGATTCCTATGATCCTTCTTCCTCCTCTTTTCCGTGTGCGACTTCAACACGACGTGAACGACAAGAAGGATCCATGGAGTGTTTTAGAGTGACCAAGCGGTTGGCGCGTCGCTGTGTGTCCATCCAAACAAAGGCTGCGATTGATTATGCATTAAAATGCGTGTTTCTTATCGATCCTTCACCCTTACCCCATATAATTGTTGATAATGAATCCTTTGTAAATGAGAACACTACTGCATCAGAGTTGGTGGAGGCGACGGCACGCCGCATGCAGCAGACTATGATGCACGTGCTGGAAAAGAAAGAACAATAGCCTCATTTGATCTCTAGAATTCGAATTCATTTTTAGAGAAGGCGCATTGAGCGAACAAACAAAAAAGAATTCGACGGCATTTTTCTTCTATTTATATGACTTCTTTTTCCATGCAATTTTAGAGACTCTGCTGGAAATGGGTACTTTATTAATCCCATTTTTTTTGTCATTATTTCCTTACTGTTCGTTTTTTTGTGGCAAAGAGTAGTTTCTTGCGTCACCTATATTTAAGGATAGGTAGGTCAACATATAAAAAGCACCATAAAATACACACTATTTCGGGTCATCCTTATTAAAGGAGATCCTTCTTTTGTACATACATACATACACAAAAACACACACATATTTCACAGACAGAATCCAAAAATGACCAGCATGGCTAAGTTTGATGAAGTGCTCACGAGCTTCGAGGGCAAGTCACCACGTGACGCTTATAAAAAAACCTGTGAGGATCTAGGCGTTCATAGCCAAAATTACGTCCTTGATCTATTTCCCGAAAAGGTCGGGGCATTTCACATCATCAACGCTATAGAGCTCGAAAATTGTCTTCTGGGGACGAAAGGTTGCATGGCACTGCTCCCCATCATTCGAGTTAGCTCAACTCTGCGCAAGATTAACGTCAGTGGCTGTGGCGTTTCCGATGAGTTCGTAAAGGGTCTATGTGAAATCCTCGAGACCCATCCAGCCTTGCGTTATGTGAATGTCAGCGATAATCAGCTAATTACCGTTTACTCCGCCCCATACATTATCAATGTGATGAAACATAACAGTAATCTGATCAGTTTTGACGTCAGCGGGACTCACGTCGGCAGGAACGTAGGCAACATCATTTCTGACCTTGGAAACCGCAATGTGGAGCGAGTTACGAACTACTACCAAGACCGGTACTTCAAGATGAAGGACCTGTTCAATTATCTGGATGAGAACGGTACAGGTTGGGTACACCTCAAATCCCTCGTTATGAACTGCCCTTACCCTGTCTTGCAAGAACAATTTGTGGAGAGGATTGCCCTCAAAAAACCAAAAAAGCGCAGTGACAGCTCCATCAGTGTTAACACCTTTTTGCAGCTGGTATATATGAACTATAAAACGGATATTGACATTGCCCAGTTCATTGGCGAGTCAAAGACGAAGACCGATGGCGAAACCAAACGAGTGAGTGTGTTCGGTCAGAGCGGCAGCGACGTTTCAAACACTGAGCCGCTCGATGAGCAGTACGTGCTGATTGTGGCTAACTGGAAGCAAATTATCCGCAGTGTGGAGGAGTATAACAGGAATGTAGAAAATGGCCCTAAAGAAAATATTCCAGAGAAGAGCGAAGACTCGATGGACTTTTTGTGCGGTATTGGAGTGCCTAATCGGCGATTAAAGCTGCCAGATGATTTCCATCGGTTGCGTCTTCGTGATTATTTGCTCACTGATAACGAGGCCACCGCACTGATCTCTGCCGCGGCGTCTGAAGAAGCGATGAAGGAAATTCAGGAGAATCCCTCATCAGGGAATAAATCATCCGACGAGGAAAATGGCGAGATCACTCTTTCGATTCTGAGCCTCCTGTTGGCCAGTAAAACTTCGTACGAAGATCCACCCATCACAAAGCCCGTGTATCAGTTTTACAAGGAGCGCGACGCGTCATACATCCCGGACTGTGTGCGCCACGGCTCCCGACTTATGAGCCTGGCGCGGCTGAGTATGCTGGACAGCTGCAAGAGCTCCCGCTTCAGCATGGTGAGCACGAACTACGCCGATACCGTGGAGGTCCTCAGCGACCCACCCCGAACCTTCTCGCTCCCCCACTCCGTGGTGAAGGCTGTGGTGAACTTCTTCAATGCCGAAGTCTTGAAGAACACCCAGAAATCAAAGCGGAAGATCTCAACTTCAGACAGCCCTCGCAGCCGTCGGGATAAGGCCTTGGAGCGGGCCTCGATTTCTGTCAGTGCTTTTCTGTCAACGGAGTTCTCGACAGAGTTCGAGATTATTCGCTCGTCCTTGCTTGGGGACAGTTACGCCCGTTACGCGCTGCCAATTGAGGACACCACGATCACCCTGCAGGAGATGGTGAATGTGCTGGATGAGATGTACGTGGTACTGCGGGTGGACCGAGTGATTTCACTGGAAAAAATCATGCAGATGGAGGACCCTATGACGAAGTTCAATGACGAAAAGGATGTACAGCCGATTTACAAAGAATTCTGCACGAAGTACATACGTGATGAGGCGTTTCTTGAAGCGGAAGCGGAGGCAAAGCGTCAAGAAATGATAAGGAAGTCCATTATTTAAGTGATTGGCGAAAGCATACATGCCAAAAAAAGTTTATATTGAAAAGTTGAGAGCGTGAATTTGTAGACTCAGACGCCCGTCTCACTTTTCTACTTGTTTTGGTGCTGTACATGTCTAGCAACTTTACGAGCGGGTTCTTTTTATATTGACTTCTAAGGGGGTCCAATTGATGTGAAATCGTATTATTATTATTATTTTTTTATATTTTTTTATGTTAGTTTTTCTATGTATAATCCGAAATCTATTCAACACCATATTTGGATATTTGTAAGAAAAAAAACATTAAATTACAGATGTATTAAGAATTTGTTATTTGTTTTGATGATGTGCTCATTTTAGATAGCATATGTAAACAGTAATCCCTTTCATCCTACTTAGCACTCTTTGGATTATCCGTGTTGGCGACCTTCTTGCCGCAGCCTGAAAAACAAAGGTCTTTTTGTCGGGTTTGAATACACCAGTTTCAACTAAACAATTATTTATGTGAAATAAAGAAAATGTAACAAGAAGTAAATGGGTGCGCCCATGTCTTCTCCGATGCTTTTAATCAGGGGAAAGATAGAAAGACGACGCTTACACAAAGGAAACGGGAAGGATAGGAGTGCTATAAAGATAAGTCATAGTTCTTAACGAAGCAAATCTATCTGAGACATTATCAAAAATGGGAAAAAGAAAAATAACGACACTGTGCTATAACACATGAAAAAAAAAAGAATACAATGTTTACCTGCATATCGTATTTTTTTTCTTGCAAATATTAGAGCAGACGGTATATTCTGTTGCTTATTTTTCCTTTTTCTCCCTTTTCTTTATTGAACCTTCACACGTTCGCAAAGGACATAAAAACAGACACAAAGCAAATCAAGAGTACACTTAAAAGAGCTAAAGTAAGTTAGTTTGCTTTGTTTCTTGCTCTTTTTTAAACATTTTATTAGCATTAAGGTTTATTTTGTGTATTTTTTTTTTACCATTTTGTGTGTTGTTTTATTTTCAGCATTACTATCAGGTTTTATACGCAACATCTTTTTATCTTTTTATAACTTCAGATATTCTTGCTATTCCCTTTTCAGTGTAGTTTCTTATACCATTTACTGTTTGAGGTTAATTAGTTATTTTTGTGCAACTATCTATATTTTGTTCTTTATCTTTAAATCGAAAGCTGCAACGATTAACACAAACAGATATTAGGTACAAACGAAATTTGCACTGGGAAAGATCTGCACGTCAATAAAGGCTTCTTTTTTTTGCCCTATAAGAAAATTTCATTTTGAATATTTTCCTTTGTCGCGTGTTAGGTTGCCGTAAAAAATATATATTTTTTTGTGGTTCGACCCCTCTAGGGTTACTCACAGAGAGGAAACCATCGTTCATTTCCTCGTTTTAATATTTCAATTTTGAATATTGTTTGATTATACATACATACATATATATATATATATATATATATTTATTTATTTATTTATATTTATATTTATATTTATTTATCTATATCTATATCTATATAGATATATATATTAGGGCGTAGTAAACTAGCCACAACTTATACAGAATTTTCCATTTTTGAAGACATTTTTTCTAGTTTTCTCTTTGTGGAATTTTTCGTGTCGCTTTGGTCTTAGACATTGTATAATAAACTATCTTGGGCTTAAGCGAAATATACATAAATATTTATATACCCAACTGTCGAAGTTAAGAGGGATTTAAGAAAAAAAAATACAAAAATATACTCTTTGGCATATTTCCTATTGCCTTCTTCAACCACGACAAATAAAGGGTATAAAAAAATAATTTGTCTGTTAACTGAAGAAGTATATATCTTTTGAAGTTATTTGATAAGCTTTTTTCATTATTTGAGTGTCCATTTTATACATTCTAATATTCTCTTGCTGGATATATACACGACAGAGATTTCGAATTCCATTCCTAATCTTCTGTTTATAGTGGTTCTATCTCTCCCTCTATTTGTGAAGTATTTCTAAAGACTCTGGGCATATTTAAAGTAACTAATCTGATCAATACCAATATATTTTCTCTCTTAATTATATTTCCCGGTCAGTTTCTTTTCTTGCAAAAATAAATCATTTTTTTATTTTTATTTACTAAGCATATAGTAAATAGCAATTCTACTAATAGCCGATATAAAAACTACTTCAACCAATCAATAAAAAATACACACCTGTCGAACACGTTGTTGCTTTACTTTCTTTACTGATACACTTCTTAGCCCAGGCGAGATTATTTTATAAATCTGATTGTACTGTGTGTCGTACAAACTGTAAAAAGAACGTAAAAATATTATTGATACATATAAATAACTACATTTACACTCTTCATACTTGTCCCATTTTCCCATTCACTTACATTTGATAAACGTATTTCTTCATTATTCTACTTTTTCGTTGTTATTACTATTGTTGTTGTTGTTTAATTCGCTCGTGCAAAATTATTAATAACAATATTGAAAGTTCAAAAATACGTTTTGGATTGTGTTATTTCCTGCAATATATATACATATTGTAAGCAAAAGTATAAAATTTGTGGAAAAGAGAAGAATCAAGAGACTAGTTATTTACTTTATTTAATTTGTTATCCATCGGCAGTAAATTTGCATTTTTTTTTGTCTTATTATTCTCTATGTGTGATACAATGACCGATTTGTCTGGTATGCTGAATTTAGATGGAAAGAGTATTATTGAGAGTGACGACAAGGCACCTCTTACGATGCCCGACGTACTGAACAGTAGTTTGGCACGCTTGTCTTCTTTGGAACCTCCCACCACGACTGGGCCGGCACCGGTATCCGGGACGGAAAGGTCCCTACGTAGCAACTACAGTGCCCTAAACTCCAATCTTCACCTTAGCGACGAGGATGGCACGGGCACGAATGGATTTGTATTTGAATGCCTGAATTCGATCGTGATGGACCCTTCCGAGATCAAGAAGAACGGGGTGGTGAGTCGCGAGCAGAACGACCCGTCGTCCGAGAAGGACTCCAAAACGATGCGCAAAGCCCCCGACCCCCGGACCAAGGCGATGATCCAGCCTCGCAACGCCGACAGCTGGAGCAGCCTGGGAGGCAGTGTTCGGTCGCTTCCCCCGTCCCAGGAACCCACTGGGGCCCCTCCGAAGGGACGCTCCCCGTCCTCCGACACGACCCCGCACGGCCCATCCGTCGCGGCTCATCACGCCCTGTACTTTACTGCCCCGACCTCCACCCACGACCGCCCGGCACTGTCCTCGGCCGAGGCCTTGCTCTACCCCCTGGCCCCCCCCCCCTCCCCCCCCTCCTCCTCCTCTACCCGCCTCCCAGCCCGCCCTGGGGGAGCACCCGGGCCTTCTCAGCTCCACGCGCTACCCCACAAGCGCCACGGCTTCCAACAGCACTACCAGCGGCCTCCAGGCCCCCGCCGTGGGCTTCCCTGTCCAGGCCGCGGCGAATGGGGTCCCGGTGTACTTCCCTTACCCCCACGAGGCCTCGGCGGGGCGAGGAGGGGGAGGGAATGGCACGACGCTCAGCGAGTCGGGCCACCCTTTGCTGCCCTCCCCCCAGCACCCCTCCTACGTCCCGGTCGTCGCGATGAACGCAAAGACGACCCCTGGAGTGCTCCTTAACCCGAAGGCCCCCTATTCCCAGTTTCCTTTTCCCAATGATGAGATCTTCCGCAGCAACCTTTTTGTCTGCGGCCTCCCGCCCGAGGTCCGGGATCGCGAGCTTATCGAGGCCTTTAGCAAGTACGGCGAGATTGAATCTGCGAAGGTGATGCTCGACATCCACAGCGGACAGAGCCGGGGGATTGCGTTCGTGAAGTTCAAAGACGTCAAGTGCGCGGAGAACGCGCTGTCGGAACTCAACGGCAGCGTCCTGCACAACAGCACCATCACGGTGCGGGTGGCGAATTCCAGAGCCGCCTACATCCCGGGCGCTCCCACAAACAAGACTTTTGTCCGTAACGTTCCACTCGCGGTGAGTAAGGAGCGCCTCAGCGCTTACTTTTCCCAGTTCGGGGACGTTTTAGATGTCTCCGTCCACGCCGATACGGCGCAGGGTCGGCAAAGCCTGGTGGAGATGGGCAACTTTGACCCCTCCATGCAGGAATCCGGCCCGGATGAGCTGCGGCTGAACATCGTTTTTGTGACCTTCACCACAAAGGAGTCTGCAGCCGAGGCGGCGGCGCGGACCCACACGACGACCCCATTTTCCGAATGTAATGGGACCCCACTGCTGGCGAAGGTGGCTGAGGATAGCGCCCGGCGGATCAAGCGATTGGCCCGGCGTTATCGCCCCAATCCTGGGGTCGACGCCCAGCCCC